TGTGCCTTTCGGACTAAACAAAAACTGAGACAGGTACATGGCACCCTTAGAAATTAAACCCCAATGCCATGGGAAAGACAGCATAATGTCTATGGCAAAAGCTTGAGCTGCTGGATAGCCAGGTGAACCATATTAGATCATGGCTGCCTCCACAGAGCGACCCTGAAAAGAAGTGGAAGAGTTGGACACACCAGAAAACACAGCAAAAGCAGAAGCCCATGTGTAGTAGCCAATCTGGTGCTGTCAACAGAACTTTCAATGGGTTGGAATTAATCATATTTAGCATCATGGGTAATATATGAAGTAGAGAGAAGGTTCAGAGTTGTAATCCCATCATGTCCTGACAGAATGCATCTATTGCCAAAACCCAAAGCTGAGTTAGTGGAAATCAAATTGCCAGTAGTTGGGTGATCCAATGAGAGGCCAACCCACCAATTAGTGGCAAAATGAGAGCTAATCCAACAGAACCTTGTGATGCAACATATATTCTGTCAGGAGAATCTTTCTGTATTGAGACAATTGATCCATTACCACAGGCAACCCTGTGGAATATGGCAAGTTAGCAGAGTGATGACACAGAAAAGGTCTACAGAAAGGAGGTCCAAAATTCAAAAACAAGGATTCCTAGACCATGTGCCTCCTTGATGAGAAACACAAGACATCACTATGGAATTTTTAGAGTGAAGCCTAACGATTTACCCCTTAATAAGCCCAGACCTTAAGGCATTGTCTGTTGAAGAGCAAAAAGAATGAAACATTGTGCAAGGAATCCTCTTTGTCCGTGCATAGACCTTCGAATTCCTGACTTTTGGTATATGTACCTCCATCCCTGAAGCAAGGCCTTCATGAAGAGATGGAACTCTGGACGAGGTGGCAGAATGATCCCGACTACGGAAACCAGTGAATCAAAGTTTATGATCTCCTGGTCGCATAAAGACCAATAAAAGGATCTCTTGTGTTCTTGTCCCAAAGAGAAAGAACCATCCATGCAGTGGGAGGAGAGGCACCCTATTCTATAGTGTTGAGATAAATGGGAGTCAGCTGAGCAAGTCTGAGAGACGAGATGAAAAATAAAAAATACCCAGACTGATGACATATCAAATTGGAACAAGAATAAATGTCTCAGTCTTGAAATGGAAGCCTGCCTTGGTTGATTCTGAAAATAGAATCAAGATGTGATGACCTGACAATTGACGAGATGGTCCCAGCAGTAACCAGTCACCCGTGGATGTTGTGTGCACAGTACGATGGAATGTAGGTGAACAGAAAAAAAAAATTTGTACGACACGGCAGAACCCATGTGAAGCCAATGCGAGTCCAATGGTAAAATCCCAGAACTGCAATACCTGACCCCTGTGCACAACATATGCTGATAGTGGTGGGACACCACCTCTATGGCAAAGTGCAGATAGGAGCCGACTACAGCCAACTTGGACATCTACAATCCCAGTAAAAAAACACAGATTGAGGAATAAGTAATTTGTGAATCTTGGAGAATCTAGATATTGATATAGATGAGAAAGATCAATAACTGGACACCAATCTTCTGTCTGCATAGTCCCAACAACTGACAGGAATAAAAACTCTGAAGAACTAGCACGACTCTCTCACTAACCCTGACCAACCAAACACAGATCACCTGAGAACTAAGTTCCAAATCCTGATGAACTGCTGGAGAGGGAAACCCTACAGGTTGAGTGGATAATAAAGATGAAGATGTGAATTGAATGACTAATTATGATTCAAGGACCTGCAGTGCCCCTGGACCCATGGGTAATGTTACCACATGACCAGAAATACTTTGAACCAAGCCCTCAAAGCCCCTGAAGGTATACAATAATCGCCAATGCCACTGGCAATCCAACCAAGCAGTGGATATAGACAAAATCTATTTCAGGTACCAATGTACCAAAGTGCTAATGTTGGGGGGGGGGGGGGGACCACGAATAGGGGCAGAACTATGACTCCCTGTAGAATCCAATGTAATTCCAGATTCCAACAACAACAGGGGGGAATGAAGAAGCAAAAACTGAACTAATGTGCATGCTAACAATGGATTCAGCTTATCATCAATGAAGTTAGTGGTCCTGATAATCTTCTAATAAAGTGAAATGAAAGAAAACAAAATGTTAAATTTTATGAGTTTTAAGCCCGTAGACTTACTCTGTTCCATCAGGGGACACTGAATTACTCTGTTGAACTATGAACTCTGCCTTAGAACCCCAAAATCGAGGAGCAGATGTACTATTTGAGAGTCAGAAAATGCTTTCACTTGGTGAGGGAAGGCTAAATCATGAAGTTAAAACATTATGTTGGATAAGGCCTAACTGTCCCTTCACATAACTGTGAAGTAAACCTTCCAGCACAAACCACAAAATCCATGTATGAAGAAAAAATAAAAATTCACTTCCAGACCTTTCAGCCATCAAGCAACATGCAGGCCCAAAAGCAATTGTAAAATATCCCAAAACATCACACATTTGAAGAAACAACAGAAGAAAAACAAATCAAATACCTATAGAATAATAGGTTTCTTTTTTGTGAGTGTAAAACACTTAAATACACCAGTTCGGAAATCAAAGTCAGCTTATCTCAAAGTGGCCTACTTTTCATTTTTCAGATTTCATTTAAAGACTGTTGATTGGAACAGCAGTTTGTGCGGTAAAGTTGTTTTGTTAGAGCAAAGCAACTTTGGGCCATCTGCTGCATCCACTGTAGGGAATTGAACCCTAAACCCCCAGCACTGCAAGTCCATAAACCTTACCACTAACAGTTTAGCCTACCATTAAAAACTACTTTTGTACCTTGTTCCCACACTATACCCCATCTTTATTTTATTCTTCATTATTCTGGTCCTCTCCACTGTAATCCTTATAAGATAATCTATTCCAAAATCATTCCAATTGTTCTTATCTGAACCTTTTCCAATAAGTCAATATTTCTCAGACAAGGAAACCAAAAATGTACACACTATTCCAAGGTAGGCCTAACTAGTGATTAATATAGAGTTGATTACTTCTTTTGATTTATAGTCAACAAGTGTATAGATACATCCTAAAATTATATTAGCTTTACAACTACTGCTAGCAACAGAGCACTGCTTTGGCAGCGTGAGTGACTTATCTTCCACTGTACAAAATCATTTTATTCAGTCATGCTACTGAGTGGATTCACATCTAAGTTCAATGTGTGATCCAAATTACGATAACCCAAATGCAATACCTTACAATTATCATAATTAAACATCATTTGTCAAATATTTGTCCAACTTACTAATTGATCCAAGTCATTCTGTAACAGTTCAACACAGCTAAAAATAACCATATGCTTAATGTCAACAGTAAACAATTTACTAATTACATCTCCATCAATATCATTAAAGTAAATAAGAATAAGCAAAGATGAAGCATTAAACCCCTGAAGCACTCCATAAATATGAAGAGTCCAGTTTTCTAGTAGGTTATCCTTAAAATGTGAGTATACAATGAAATTGGTTAACATTCATATTAAAATTTATTTATCTGACAAGTTTTCAATTCTGTCTCAGGGCCAACATCAGGTCTACTAAACAAATCCAAAATATTCAATCGATGTGATAACTGCCCTGAGAGAGTGTCAAAGACTTGTCAATTAAAGGTTCAATCTGGCTAGATTACATTACTAACACCCTTTGCTTTCTCCCATCCAAACCCTATAAATATAATCCAATTAGTCTTTCACCAACCACTATTGAAGAGATTTTTTGGGGTCAATCTTTTGTGAGGCACACCATCGAAAACTTTTGAAAATCTGCAAGTCCACAAAAACAAAACATAACAACTAGTAAAGCAAGACTTCCTTTGGTGTATCTCTACTGGCTTTCTTTTGCATCATATTTTAACAACTAATTTTGTGAAGCTCCTTTTACATGACTGTTTAGAAGTTTTTACAAAACCTGGCCTATAGATTTCAGGTCAAATATTTTCATCCCCCTCCACCTTTAAAAAGAGGAGTAACATTAGCAACTGTACAATCCTCAGGTACACGCCCATCATCTACTGACTTACTCAAAAATGAACAAGAGGTTCACATGGCTCTGAAAACACTGTCTGGTAACTAATCTTTATCTACTTTTAATCTCTCAATCTTTCTACTTACAATTAAGGGATTAAATTTAAAGCCTATATCAGTACATGATTAAGTTCAGTTGCATTCTTTCCTACAGAATGGTTAGAATCAGGAATATTGTTAATATCTTCTCTTGTAAAAACAGAACATTTCAAAGCTCAGCCACTTCATAATCTTCAACATAAACCTTGTCATCAGTATCCTTTACAGGTTCAATCCTTACTTTAACATTCTATTTACCTTTGATACACTTAAAATAAAAACAAAGTTATTGCTGTAAATTTTGAAATTAATTTTATATCTTTCATAAACTAATTAGGCCTCATCTTTTCTGTTATCATTTTCTTAGGAGTATGCCATCTTGAATTAAAGTTTAATCACAATTTATAAATTTTCCAAATCTGTCACATACCATCTTCAATGATCTTTTTTTTTTTATCTCATTATCCCAGTTCACTAATGATAAAAATTATTTTACAAATTACAGACCCACCATTAAGAAAAGTAGAAATTTAAATAAACCCTTTATTTTTCAAGAAATAATCTAAACAACCTCTTACGAGTTCTAAATGCTTATGAAAATTGAATTTGAAGTATAAAGAGTCGGCCTCCCCTACTACCGACAGCAAATTTTTTGAATAAGAAAACGGGCAGCGTGACAAACGTTCAGCTTATTCATTCCAAACTATCATACGCTAAATCTGCTCACGCTTTAAAATGTATGTCTTAATTTAGTTAATCGTAATAGTGGAACCTTCTATATTTTAACTTTTAAGAATGACGAAACAACGGATATAACGGGATTAAGTTGTTCATTTTTAATAGAAAAGTGATACAAAGTCAACATCTACCATGATCACAAATGTAAAGACGATGTAATTTTGTTAACCTACCGTGCAGATCTACCTTTCCAGACTTCTCTGTAGAAAATGCCATAAGAATAATCAGTTCGCAACAGCAACAAATATTCGTACAATAACAAGTTTACGGGAAGTATGTTTAGTACCTTGTGTTTGATCATTAAACACGCATATAACCACCTTTTGTCAGAGTAAATAAAAAATAAAAAAAAGACACTACAGAAACTTCAATACCAAGTTTATGAAATTCTAAAATAAGTACTAATTATTCTAAACCACTATTAAAAATTAGAACTGGGCGGGGATGGGGATTGAAGTAAAAAAAAATATGCTTATATAGTTATAAGCTCAGCTGCTTTTGGCATTTAATGTTGGTGGATTTTATGTTAACAGTCATGCAATTTCGATTTCGATGACGAGGAACCCACTTTGAGACTAATAATGGCTGGAGACGGCTTAAATGGGTAATGAAGAAAAACTTTAATATAAGTTTAACATGACAGCAAATGTACAACGTTTCGACAAGGTTTTGTCATCATATGACAAAACCTTGTCGAAACGTTG